CTACATGTGCCCCAAATAAAGAACAGCATCTCCACCGTGGCCTTGGCCTAGTACCATGAAGTTATACTCCCCTGAAGAAAGCACTTGGCCCTGGGTGAGTTCTGACACAGTGAAAGTTGAATTTGTTCTTCTTCCCAAACAATAACTTGGCCCTTACCTCCCAGCACCATTCCTCCTTTTCAGCATCCACAGGCACATCAGCCCAATTCTGAGAATGAGGCAAAACTTTTTGGAATGTCAATATCCAGGGTATGCTCCCAGGCAAGGCCATAGGAGGATATGCTGAGGGAACCTTAAGGTAATGGGCAAATTCCTACCTGTTCCTGATTCTGTTCACTTCACTATGCATCAGTTCATGTAGGTCTTTCCAAATTTTTCTGAAATCATCCTGCTTGTCAGAAAGAAAGGACTATAGCCAGCTGCCTGACAGTTAAAGTACTTAGTGACTAAGGCCCAAGTCACAAGTAACATGATCCCAAGATGGGATGACTACATCACTTCCTTTTCTAACTAATCTCAGTTGTTGAACCAACATCACACTCAATCCATGCTAACACTGTTATCCCCATATCTTTTGCAAACTGGGAGAGCCAATTGGTACAGAGGTCAGAGTCTAACATCTCAACCAACGCTATCTACCATTGCCCTATTCCCTATTCTCCACAAATTGTCACTTTAAGAAACACCTGTTCTTTAATGCCTTGCTCTGCCCTTTCCTTTGCCCCTGGGCCTTGAGAACTATAGCTTCAAGGCAACTCTAGCACGGGCTGTTTCTCATAGCTTTTGAGCTCTCTCTTCTCAAATTTTTCTTAGCCTTTTTCCTGGCCTTCCCATAACATCATTAGCATTTAGAGCTGAAACATACCATAGAGATCATTTTAATCCAACCTCCCCATTTTATAAAGGAGGCAACTAAGTCCCAGAGATGTGAAGTGATTTTCCAAGGTTACTCAAGCTTGGGATAGGAACCCATATCCTCTCACTTCAAATTCACTGCTTTCTCCATTAAGTCACACTTCCTCTCCTTTGCATTTAACAATTCTCCTTTGAATCACAGTAATTTGAATATAAACTTTCTCTATCCCTCACCCAAAATTAGATTATAAATTCCTTGAAGGAAGGGCAAATTGATATTCCTTGTGCTCGTAACAGTAGACATTATATCCCAAAGACATAAAAAAAAGAAAATGACCTATTTGTACAAAAATATTTATAGCAGTTCTTTTTGTGATGGCTAAGAATTAGAAATCAAAAGGATGCCCATCAATTGGGGAATGGCTAAACAAATTGTGGTATATGGTTGTAATGAAATATTATTGTGCTACAAGAAATGACAAGCAAGATGATTTCAGAAAAACCTGGAAAGACCTACATGAACTGATGCATAGTGAAGTGAACAGAGCCAGGAGAACATTATACACGGTAAGAGCAATATTGTTTGATGAAGAACTGTGAATGACTTAGCTATTCTCAGTGATACAAAGATCCAAGACAATCCCAAAGGACTCATGATGAAGCTTACTATCCTCCTCCAGAGAAAAAAAACTGATATTGATTGAATACAGACTGAAGCATCCTATTTTTCACTTTCTTTTTTTCCCCTTTTATTCAAGTCTACTTATACAAAATGACTAATATGGAAATATTTTACATAATTGCACATGTATAATGAATATCTGATTGCTTACTGTCCCAGGGAGGGGGAAGGGTAGGGAGGGAGGGATAGAATTTGGAACTCAAAACTTTAAGTAAAAAATGTTTTAAAAAAAAGAAACTTAAAAAAATAAAGAGCTGATAATTATACAATGGGGAAAAAAGTAGACATTGACAAATATGGAATGGAATCTGAAGATACAAGTAGCTTTTAACACAGTCCTTCGTCTTTGCCTTCTCATTTAATAAAGGCTTTTTGGATTGAACTGGTCATCTAATACAACAGTCCCAAATATAGAAACTGTTAAAGTTGCTCACTTAGAGATAGTCACTTAAAGAATGAGATTTTAGTGTTTTATCTCTCAAAGCACTGCCCACATTGATGGTTTAACTTGGTATTTAGTCTTGGACTGGAAGCCATTGTCTCTAGGTCAGGCAGGTGAGCTTGGCTGACGATATAGGGTCAAACTCTGGGTGGAGTGGGGTAGAGAAAGGACACAGAGAGGTATAAAATGGAGGAACTGTGGATTCAAGGTTCCATACTCCCTGCTCTATTTTCTTATGATTGTTGCTTTTGAGGGTGAAGCAGTCTGCTACTTGTTCATATTATAGAACTCAAGTATCCATTCAGGCTTTCTTGGGATGGCCAAATGTAAGCTTCATGTTGCATTGGTGGAACATCACCAAGTTACAGGCAAAGATAGGAGTAGGGCAGGCAAAGCCAGGGCACCCATGAATAATTATCAGTGAACTGGACCTCTAGCCATGGCACCACCTGGACATGAGGATATAAGAACAAGCTTGCGAACCTTTCTCCCCTCATTAGCAGTGCTAAACAATGCAACAGGAAAGACTCAATGTGCCAAGATTCTTTGTCCATCCAGGCTGAGTAGCCAAAGCCCAATAATGAGTTAATGCAGAGTTCAGCTGCTTAAAATAGGTGCGACTGTTCTCTCCTCCCCCCCACCCCGCAGGCTGATACACCTTGTTTTCATGCTGGAACAACTCAGATTCTCTGCAAGCTGACTGTCTGTCTACAATGACAGTGAGGCTCAGGGAGAGAGTATCCTAAGGCCACTTAGAAAATCAAGGGATGCCAAGAGAAAGGAAGAACCTCCTGACCAGAACTTAGTAGAGTATGGATGGTGGGTAAGAATGAATCACAAGAAGAGTTGGCTTGAGGGGCCTCATAGACCATATAAATTAACTCACATTTGAACGAGAATCTCTTCAATACACCCCCAATATGTGATAGAACCTGCTAAAGCCATCCACTTCACTTTGGAATAGCTCTAATCGCAAGGGGGCTTTTCTGCCTAAATCTACTTCTCTGCAAGGTGCCTATTTCTTTCCCCTAGAGCCAAGCAGAACAAATGCAATTCTTCCACATGTCAGTCTTTTAAACACTTGAACATAGCTAACATGTTCCCTTTAAGTCTTCTCTTGTCCAAGCTAACCATCTCTGATTCCTTCAGCCAGTCTTTGTATGGCAGGGTCTCCAGTTCCCTCAGCATACCCAGTCACCCTCTTTTGGATGCCTTCCAGTTTGTGCTCAGAAGTGAACAGCATAAATGTTGCCTGATCTAGAGAGCAGAACACAGTAGGACCATGATTACCTCCCTTATACTGGACACTATATATATCTCTTTATACAGCCTAAGATTACATTGGCCGTTTGGTCTGCTGTTTCACACTCTTAGTACCCCATTAGATTGTTAGCTCCTAGAAAGTAGGGACTGTCTTTTGCATTTCTTTGTATCTCCAGCACTTCTGCACAGTATCCAGCACACAGAAGGTGCTTAATAAATTCTTATTGACTGAGTAGTTCATGTTGAGCTTATGGTCCACTAAAACTCCCAGAGAAGAAGTTCCTCTCTTCAAGTCTTTGCTTACCTTCATACGGATGGGCCTTCTCCTTTCCTAATAGTGGAACCTTAAAATGGAGGGGTGTTTCCATCTATAAAGGTGTCAGGCTGCCCTCCCAACTTCATTCTTTTTGAGGGTTAGGATTGACTAGTAAGAGGCAACTTGTGTCCACAAAACTCCACTAGTCTGAGTCTCTTGGGCCAAACACACTCAGCTTCTTTTTCTACACTAGTCCAATATAACCTGCTTCTCTACATCCTCAAACAAATCAATATCTTTCCTTCCATACCTCTTAGTGGTTAGTGCCCACTCCATGGCCTTAGGCCACTTCCAATATAAAATGGTCCTTATTCCTGTGCCCAGCCACCAAGCCCACTGCCCTCAGAAATGAAATCATGAAGAAATTTCGGAGGCTAAGATTGGGAGGTTTAAGAGAAAGAGGCCAGCACCTCAAACCTACTTCAAGAGGTTTTGGAGGAGTCCCGCCACCCTGGCCTCAGCAGCCAAACATAACTGGCATTCCAGGCAGCGGGTGGGAACCTCTTGGTCCAAAGGCAAGTGTTTATATACAGTGGAAAAACAAACCACGGGCAGACCCTCTCCTCGACGCCCCCCACCTTCACCCCCCCCCCCCAAGAGGCGTGGTAGGTCAGAGAAAGCAGTTGGGAAATATGCAATCGGAACGCTAAGTGGCCTCAGAGGTCCCCGGCCAAGACTCACTTGGCTTTGGGAGACCAGAAGGGCAGAGAGCACAGGTCGGCAGCACAGAGGCTGCAGAGTGGAGTGAGCCAACGAGAGAGCGGGGTGCTCTCAGTCCACAACCTGGTACTCCGGGCCGGGCGTCCCCTCCCGGCCCGGGCTGCGGGCTCCCCGCTCCCAACCCCTCGGGCTCCAGGCTCCGATCCCAGCTCGGGGATGAGCTGCCGAGGCGTTTGAAGTCCTTCAGGCAGAGAGAAAGGACAAAAAGAGAACGAAAGGAGAGGACCGAAGGAAAGACGGCTTGAGAGAGCTCCACGGGCCCAGAGTGAGGCGGGGGTTGAGTAAGTTACGGGAAACCGCCGGCTTCGGCCCCGGCAAACCCACTTTCTTGGAGGCTGATGCAACCTCGGGGCCAGCGGGAGGAGGGGGCTCCCAGGCTGCCCTCCGACCTCCCCTCCCCTTCCTATCCTGCACTCCCCTCCCTTTCCCAAGGCGGGCAGGAGGAGCTTCCCGGCGTCCCGCGCCCCCAGACTGAGCAAGGACTGGCGGGCAGTCGGGTTGTCTGCTTGTCAGACTGTGTGGCTGTCTGTCTGCCTGCCTGCCAGCACCTCCCACCCCCTCCACTCACGCGCCTCCCTAGAGGGCTAGCTGGTGGTCTCTCTGGCCGTCTGTCTCTTAATCTTTTGGTCCACGCCGGAGGAAGCTCTGACACTCCCATATGTTTCTCAGTCCATCTGTCCTTTCGTCCGTCAGTCCGGCGGGGTCACCGGCGCCTGCGTTACCTGGGCGGGTCGGTAGCGTCCTCAGTCCGGCTAAGGGCAGTCATCACTGGCACTCTCCCCAAACAAGAACCACCGACACTGCAGGACCAGACAGCCGTGGCGGTAGCCGCTACCCAGACCCTGCGGCCCGCCCCATCAGCCCATTGGCTGCTTCTGCCGGTCCGCCCAGGTGAGAGCCACCCCCCCCAGGGGGGAGGGGAAAGCAGAATGGGGGGAGGAGGAGGAGGAGGAGAAGAGGAGGGAGAGGGGAGGAGGAAGAGGACGAAGAGGAGCAAGACGGGCAAGAGGAGGGAGGAAGGGAAAGGAAAGAAAAGGAGGATGGAGACCGAGAAAGCCAGTAGAGGGGGAAGCCGGAGAGTCGAAACTCGCCAACCACCTGAGGGCTGCCCCTTAAAGGGGCACCCACGCACGCTGCCCCCACTCCTAGTCCACCTGCTCAGGCCTCACTCCCAGTTGCTTCTGTGGCATTAGTTACCGAAGCTGATCAGGACCATTTTACACTATGGGTATCGGAGCGAAGAGCGTGCAGGTCTGCGGAACTCAGAGCTGCAGAACTCAGCAGCTATATCCATACCTGGAAGAGCATCCCCTCTACAATTACCCAATAAGTGGTCATCAAACTCCTACTTGGAATCATCCAAAAAAGATGAACCCACAACCTCCCCAGGCAGCCCATCCTACTTTGGAATAGCGCCAGTTGCTGAGAGCTACGTACTAGTTGTACTTGCTAGGTTCCTGAAGCCTGTTAAGTGAATCTTCTGAGACACTGCAATCCAGATTATAGCCTCAGGAACTACACTACAGAAACATTCTTTCTTTCTTTCTTTCTTCCTTCCTTTCTTTCTTCCTTCCTTCCTTCCTTCCTTTCTTTCTTTCTTTCTTTCTTTCTTTCTTTCTTTCTTTCTTTCTTTCTTTCTTTCTTTCTTTCTT